GGGAGGAGAGCAATGTCCAATCTCGATAAAATAGTAAAGAGTAGAGACATCAGAACTGGCAACAAAGATCCGCCTAGTCAAAGCCATGGTATTCCCTGTAGTAACCTACGGATGTGAGAGCTGGACCTTAGGGAAGGCTGAGCGAAGGAAGATCGATGCTTTTGAACTGTGGTGTTGGAGGAAAATTCTGAGAGTGCCTTGGACTGCGAGAAGATCCAACCAGTCCATCCTCCAGGAAATAAAGCCCGACTGCTCACTGGAGGGAAAGATACTAGAGACAAAGTTGAAGTACTTTGGCCACATCATGAGGAGACAGGAAAGCCTAGAGAAGACAATTATGATGGGGAAAGTGGAAGGCAAAAGGAAGAGGGGCCGACCAAGGGCAAGATGGATGGACGGCATCCTTGAAGTGACTGGACTGACCTTGAGGGAGCTGGGGGTGGTAACGGCCGACAGGGAGCTCTGGCGTGGGCTGGTCCATGAGGTCACGAAGAGTCGGAGACGACTGAACAAATGAACAATCAAAGCAGATAAATGATCAACTTCTTTAAGTCATTTGGTTTTACCAACCATTCTTCAGTTCCCGATGTTATTGAATTCTTCCATCTTTGCCTATATAGCAATCTTGTCGTAGTTTGAAACAAGATCTCCGTCTCACAAAGAATGAGCTCATTATTCTGCCTCTGAGTGCCACAGAGATAGCCATTAAGATTTTATCACCAGCAGTAACTCAGCACTCAGCAAAATGCATTCAGCCTAAAGGACTGGCCCCAAACTAGATATGAATGACCTGGTCAGCACTTTCACTTAAAGACAAGCATCCAGGCCTGGCATCAGCTTTAGGAATGGAATGGAAAATGCTGGTTTCCAAAATATCCAGTTGATCACCTTGGCTCAGGTTGCTTTTCTTAAAATTTTAAACTCTTTTAATGGTTCTGAGTGATGGAGAGAAGGGCTAAACCAGACAGCAGCAGCTGCTGCCATTTTCCATGGTTTCTATCTTTGGTGAAAGAGGTTAGAAACAGCAGTTGTTAACCAAGAACTCCTCTTAAAAAGCATTGGCCTGAATAAGTATATGACTACTCAAAATGAATCTCTTTCAGTGCCATCTTCCATTCTCATCTGTTCATGATAACCTCTTGAACAGGCCAGAACCCATTTAAGCCTAGTACTGAACTTACATTAGACCTCTAACAATAACTATATGAGGTGGTCCTCCACAACTGAGCATTTTCTGGGAGCTTTCTGAACATGACATTACTGAAGGAATTTTTCCCCTGGTTTCTATTTGACTACATTCCTATAGTGAGGATGAAAAACTGAAGGTACAGTTCTCTCCACATTTGCAGATTTGACTTTTACAGATTTGATTATTCACAAATTAAAATGTTCTCTGTAAGAATCTCTAGCTTCTCCAGCATGAATCTATGGTAATCTTCAGCCAGAAATTCATCACAGAACCATACTGGAGAACCTAGAGATTCCTAGAGAAACACATACCAACTTCCAGTTGAGTTGTACTGGAAGGCCCAGAGATTGCTAGAGATTCCCTAGGTTAGAAATATTGCCTCTTCTGTCTCCCTCTTCTCGGCAAGAACAAAGTTGGAAACGCACAACAAAAGGTGAAACCCTAAACAAAAAAGGAATTTAATTGTATTGAAGATCAGTACCCCAATTCCTCCCAGGGTCTGACTAACAAACAATAACTAGAAGGAACAGGTGGAAGCTTAAAATTTAACTAGGTTTCTCTTGATTTGTTCCAAAGAGAGTTTCTTCCTAGCCTTTTTTTTTCTGTGTCCTTTGTCTGGTCTTGACTTCTGTTAACATCTCCTGTTAAGTATCTTTTCTTCTTTAAATTGCAGATTTGGTTCCTCAGTGCTTAAAGTTTGTTTCTCAAAGTCTTAAACTTAGCTTCTTCAACCTTCGGCTTCTTAAACTTTGACAAAGTTTCCTTAAACTTTGGCTGAATTTCCTAAAAATTTGTTTGAGTTTCCTGAGTCACCTTAACCTTAGACAGAGAAGATATTGCAGCCTCTAGGCTCATTGGCACCCTTAAACTGACTAACTGTGAAAGAGAAAGAGTCACTGAGGAGAACTGCAATCTCTACCTCTGGGATGGGTTTCCTAAAGGGATAGGGTCTAATTAAGGTTCCCATAGAAAACTATAAAAAAGGAACTGAACCCATTCCAACTAAGGGACAACTGAGGCTTTACAAAGAAAACAGTAAAAGCCTCTGTGGAGGCATGCTTTGAGTCTCCTTGTGGAGAAAAAGTGGGGTATAAATAAAGCTAATAAATATGATAATTTTAAAAATTATGCCCGCCACCTTTTATTTATATATTTATTTATTTATTTACTTTACTTGTATACCGCAGTTTCTCAGCCTAACAGGCGACTCAACGCGGTTTACAACAAAGGTACAACAGTCAACAATATACAATTTAAAACCATAAAAGCATAATACACAATCTTGACACAACAATAACAACCCAATGCATCTCATGACTAAAATCGTGATCCAGTTTCGTCGTTCATATTACCATTCCTGTAATCATCACATTCATTGCATTAGTGGAGGTACTGTGTCCCTAATCCCCAGAAATTCTTTCTTTCTTTCTTTCTTTCTTTCTTTCTTTATTTAAAACGTTTATATTCCACCCTTCTCACCCTGAAGGGGACTCAGGGCAGAGCACAGCATATATACGGCAAACATTCAATGCCAGGACAAGAATTCATATACGCATACATAAACATTAAAAACATTTATCTCAATATTAAAATACACCATTTAAAACCGTCTTGGTCATCTGCGTCAAACCTAATTGGCCTGGTAATCTTTTCTATTGCTGCTTTATTGCCCTGTCCCGAAAGCTTGGTCCCACAGCCAAGTTTTTACCATCCTTCTGAAGGACAGAAGGGGGCTGATCTGATCTCACCAGGAAGGGAGTTCCATAGCTGGGGGGCAGTCACCAAGAACGCCCTGTCTCTTGTCCCCACCAATCATGTCCGTGACAATGCCAGGATGGAGAACAAGGCCTCCCCAGAGGATCTTAATCTCCACGATGGTTCATAGGGGGAGATGCGTTCGGACAGGTAAATGTGGAAGGCTGGATGTCCTTCAATTCTTAATGAAAGTAGACTCAAGCAACATTGGCTCTTGTGTTATCCTTCTTTCTTGTGCAGCAAATACTTGGTATTTTAATAACGCGGCACATGACCTGAACAGAATCACGTTGCAATTTTAAGGGTTCTCAACTTTCCGGGCTTTGCTGGATCAATGGTCTAACACTGTCTCTTTAGGAATCAGTCTTATCAATTACTTGTCCTTCACACATGCCCTCTTTTCTTCTCTACACAGACCCACCTAATTTTTCTTCTACCTTTCCCTCTCTAGACCACACAGCAACTGATAAAATGCAGGTCCAGTCATTTTTCTGTGATTCAGGTTGCTTGATGCAGCACCTTACTGCAGCCTATAGTTGCTTAGCAACTGCTAGTCCTGATCTCCTTCAGTCAAATATATTTTTAAAAGGAGAGTACTACATTAGCTAGAAGGGTCCTTCCTTACACATTTGTCCATGATGCAGATGTAAGTGGCCCAGGATATGAGAAGTACACTGCCAGAGTGACAGAAATGATTCTCCCTGTAATACAATGTTTTGTATTCCTTCTTGAAAAAGTGCTCAAAGGCTCACTTTGCTCTCTTTCTTAAATGAAGTTTTAGCGGTAGAGGTTGTTAAGGGAGTTAGTAAAACAAATATCTTTAGGGCAGCACAGTTATACAGTCACTTACCTTATCAGGAGTAAGCCTCACTAGATTCAATGTGATATACTTCTATGTAGGCATATATATGTAGGATCACACAAGAATGAAGCAGCTGTCCCAGGCAGCAGGTCTGCAGGCATTTAAAAATGCTCAATGCCAGCATTATAATTTTGCTTGTTATCACTGTTTATGGGATTTTCTGACAAAATGTGCCAAAATAAGTGGGCTGGCTTTGAGTACTATGACATTTGGCTTGAGGCAATGGGAGACAACATTTGTTGCTCCACCTCAGTCTGGCCCTCTATATATATATATATAGGAATGCACTGTTGTATATTAAAGTACAAAGGAAGACTGAATCATTAAATTTCATATGCCAAAAAGGCAGACCACTACAGGCAGCATTCAATCCACCTGCCTATGGATCACCCCACTTCTGATATTTAACCCCTCCCCCTCCCCGTTTAGAACAGTTTTGTTGAAGATGGCCCTTTGCTGAAAAATAGGATTGAATTGTTGTAGGTTTTTCAGGCTATATGGCCATGTTCTAGAGGCATTATTTCCTGATGTTTCGCCTGCATCTATGGCAAGCATCCTCAGAGATTGCTTGCCATAGATGCAGGTGAGATGTCAGGAGAGAATGCCTCTAGAAGGAGGCCATATAGCCCGAAAAACCTACAACAACCCAGTGATTCCAGCCATGAAAGCCTTTGACAATACAAAGGACAGGATTGTGTTCATTGATCCTGCCCGTCAACTTTGGTATCTTCGGTGCCAGTGTGGAAAGGGCTCTGCTTATGCCTTCTTGGTTTCCTACTAATGTTGAACATCTAGTATGGCAGGCTTGATCCTTTGCATGAAAATAGAATTGAGGAATCTGTGTGCTCCTTTGGTCCTATGCAAATGCAGCTGATGGTCTTAGCCATATGTTTCCAGAAGACTAACACCACAAATATACTAGAAAAAGACAATCCTACTAAAACCCAATGGCTATAACTACCATACAATGAATCAACCAATTAAACCATATGACTCATTTGTCTCCAGCAGACAGCAGCTGAACTTAGAGAGGTCAAGCTGACTCCCTTGAAAAAGTTGGTAATAACTGGAACAATTACTTTTACCAATGCAAAGCAAGCACTCTAACTCTATGGATTTTCTGAAAGTCAGCACACACACACATTTTTAAAATAGCAAAACTTGTAGTGAGAAAATGAGGATGTTATACCTTACCTGTCCCCAGCCTCCTGTCTTCCATTTTGGGCACCTGCCACCTCTACACTTTCTTTGCACATTCGGTTTAGCCAGTTGTTTACAAAGATTGTTTTCTAAATGTTTCCCATCCTTGGACATGCAATAAACATCTCGGTACTTCTGCCCTCGTCCACAAGAGACAGAACACTGAAATGTAAAGGCAAACACAAATACGTCTTACACAACTATGTTCACATCCTTACACATGCTTATTTGAAATACTTAAAAATAATATTTTAAGTATATAATGTCCAAGCAAACACCAGCCTTCTCTAACTGGTCACTACTGATGATCTCAGTCCAGTTACAGGGAGCTGCAGGCCAACAACATCTGGATGACTGCACAATCCCCACGCTGATCAAGGGTCAAAAAGTGTCTTGTGCTAATGTTGGCAATGGAATTTGAAATGCCAAATAACATTAACTCTGTATTTCAGAAGAGAGCCATCTCCAGAAAAACGTTAGGCGGTGAATCCAGTAAGACTCAAACCTCTTGCTTCAAGTTGCTTTAGACTAAAATCTTCTTAACAGGGGCAAAGGTTTTGGGCAACAGTTACAATTCAGATTGCTTTCTCCCTATTAAAAGGAAACAATAAATAACAGTCTCAAGGTGCATCTAACTGTAGAATGAATGTGGTTTGAGACCACTTTAATTGCCCTGGCACAATGTTATGAGATCCTGGGATCTGGATTTTTACAAGACCTTTTGCCTTTCTTTACCTAGGAGTACTAGTACCTTACCAAACTACAGCTCCCAAGATTCTTGGGGCCAAGGCAGTTAAAGTGATGCCAAACTACATTAATTCTACAGTGAAAATCTACCCTCAGTTAGTGCCATAAAATTGCAGTTGCTAATGACACTGTCTTGAAGACCCTTGCTATTGAACCAATGCACTGGGAGTTAAGGCATCCAGTAGTGATTGGAAAATGCAAAAAGAGATGGGGGATACACTTTCATCAGGGTTGAGTGTATGAACTGACAATTAAAGAAAGCACTGATACTTTGTCACTGTTAAAGAAAGGTAAAGATTGCTCTGTTATATAAGCAGTGGAATACACTGGAGACTGAAGAACTCCTACAGTGGCAATTCAAAGGAGCTGGATTATGTAAACAGTAAAGTGTTGGAGAGGTTGGGGGAAGGCCAGAGAGACATGAAAGAAGGTTATGTCACAAAACTACTTGGATAACTAGACTGACTTATTTTTGGCAGATGACCTTAACCTTCTACGTTGCAGGAATCTGTCTTTTAGAGGCCATAATGAGAGGAAGAAATTGAACTACAAGCTTCTAAGATTCAAACTGTATTCAAAGATGCTTTTTTTTTTTTAAAAAAGTTTGAGTTCGGTGCTTGTTAAATTACACAGGAACTTATCCAGAAGGGGCTCAGTATTTCTTTTTACACTTTTGTAGCCAGTTCCAAAGAAGGCAAAGCAGGAACAACATGACATTATGAGCCCAAGCCAAAAGCAAACCAGCAGGTAAATTGGCTGCAAGCTTTGTAACAAAGCAACAACATTCAACCTCCTTCTGCAGGTTCATTGAGCTTTTACAAATGTGACCACTTCTGGTATGCGGGCCCCCTGAACCATTTTGATTTTAGATTAGTCTCCACCAAAAGATTTAGGAATCAAAAGGGGTCTGGAAGCACAACAAGAATTTAATATGACAGTTTCTTGCCGAATGGGCCTCTAACTCAGCATGATGCAGAGAAAGATTCAATTTCGTTTTCTTCATTACATGTGAAACAAGTCATTGCATGTTATATCACACACAATGTCAGCTTAACCCTTTAGCGCAAATCACATTTTGCTGTGATCTCTCCAAATAACATTGTCTTCTTTTCTTTTTAGAGTGCCGTCTGTGCAAGATGACCTAACCTTAGTGATCTCTAAGAGTCTCCACCCTCCCTTTGAATGGCAGTTTTTAAAAAATCATTTCAGGTAACCTTAAATAGGGAATGCAAAAGCTAGAAGCATTCATCATTTTGTCTGGAGATTTAGAAAACTGCCTGGTTTTATTACTAATTACACCATCATTGGTTTCTATATCTGCAGTGTCATTACCGCCATTAAACATTCCCCTTCATTAAAAAGTTGCCATTTCCTTTCGCTGCCAGGTTTCCCTGATACATAAAACTCATATGCTTTCTATAGAAAGCCATACCAAACTTCATGACAGAATGATATCATGACCTATTACAGTCAGTACTGCAAAGCTGGTAGATGAGCTCTTCTCCTGCCCTTGCTCCTGGCAAAATTTCACTTGGCATTATTGCAATGTTCTTAAATTACTATCCTTGTACAGTCCAGCAACGAAACCATCAAACAATATCATAGAGGTAGGAACTCATTACACATACATATAGATTCAATTTCGAAATACTGCCAGTCTTGATATATCAATTTCCACTTATGTCCCATATTAGTACGTGGAGAATGGAAGGAAAATAATTAGACTCCAAAACTATCTGTAGTAGTCTCTCCACATTCATTGAGATTTGAACGTAGGCTCCTTGCAGAAGTGGAAAATTTGAGAATAAAAAAGTACTATTTTTTAACCTGAGAGAACACTTCTCTAGGAATCTTGAGGTCCTCTGGTGAGACCCCATAATCAGTGAATAGCAGACATTGACCCTGTGATGTAAGACCTAGAAATTCCTAGAGACATCATATTAATGAGATTGAAAAATATCAGATCCACAAAAGTTAATTCCAGAAATGTGGAGGGGTGATTGTAGTTAACCAAGTTCTAGATGGAGCCGGACTATATGCAAACGAGCAGGGACCATTTTTGTTTTCGTCCAGACAGGGCTCAGTCTGCAGTGCCTCACCTCCCAAAACAAACATTTGCTCTGAAATGTAAATCTGGAACAAAATTTGTCATGTACATGTTATCCCTTGAACCTATTTTAGATCTTGAATGGCAGGGTTTAGATGGCATGGGCAAACTACAGGCCTCCAAGTATTTGACTTCAACTCTCAAAAATCCCAGCCAGCTTACCAGTTGTTAGGAATTGAGGTCCAGAACACTTGGAGGGCTGAAGTTTGCCCATGCCTGGTTTAGATGCACTCTGTCAACCCATTCTAGGGTAGAATTCTAGGTAACAAAATTTTTATTTTCTCTTCAGAATTCCACCAACTACACCAGGCATAGGCAACCTGTGATCTTCCAGAAGTTATAGATTCACAACTCTCATCAACCCTCGCCAGAAGAGCCAATAGTGAGGAACAGTGGGAGATCCAATAATTTTTAGGAGGCCACACTTCGTCGACCCCACAAGTTGTGCAGAAACCACAAGTTGAGAAGGAAGTGATTGATATTCTCACTCAGCTGAGTTTTAATATGAACAGAGAAAAAATGAAACAAAGAGGTAGAGCACTCAAACATGAAATCGTGATATATAGGCATCTAACAATTGCTTGGTTCAAATTTCTTTGATAAATTGTGATTCCTCAGACTTTAATTCTTATTAAAGTTCGGTTATAGATAGGATGTAGTTTCTCTGTGTTTAGAACACAGGACATCATTCTTAATCAATAGTCCATAATCCAAAGTCTTTAAGTATACATCTTGTGAACGTCCAAACTGTATAACTGTACTCACTGCTTCTCAAAGCAAAGATATAGTAAACTGTTCTGCATAAGTCCAAATGCAACTGATAACATTGAAGTCCAAAATCATAGTCCATGCATCTCTCCGTTGTGGTCTAAAGTGAACTGCTAACATTTAAGTCCAAAAGCATACTGTATAACAAAATGGAGTCTTGAGTCTGAACACGCTTAGTACAATCACATGTCTGTAGCCTCTCCCACACCAGTCAAACTGGCAAATCAATATATTCATACAATACAGGTTAGCAAATATATACATTAAAAAACAAAAAGTGAAGACTTGGAAGGTTGCTATTTCCAACTTGTCCCTCCTGACCTTTCCTTTCTCATTTGTCTGCCATCCATATTTCCATCTTCAGAAAATATATTCTGGTCTCTTGAACCAGTTTTTAGAACTTTGCTTTAAAGTCACAAATTTAAAGTCACAAATTCCAGGAAGGATTCTGTGGAATCAATTATTTTTCAGATATCACTGGATTTTTGTTTAAATAAGGACATGAAAGCTTTCTTGAGAAAGGAAACAAGAAGGGAAAGCATTGGGAATGCAAAAGGAAAACCATTGCCTATTCACAGTCCAATAGTTTATTTATTCAGCAATGTGATTTCTCAAATACTGTAGTCTATTTTTAAAACTCTGCCTTCTTTCAATTATATATATTGATGATGCTATAAAACAGTTTGTCATTTTGATATAATCAGTAAAATGTTGCAAGGATAAGCATCCATCCAAAACATCAACCCAATATATGTTGAAACATGCCCTTCATATCCATGCTGTTAATCACATCTCATATATATATATATAAACTTTTTAAAGCATCTAATCTATTCCACAATCAAATTCATTATTTTTCAAAACATAAAATAAAAAGACACTCATAAAAACCCACTGAAATACGATTATAAAATGCTTTTCAAAGGAAAGCCATCAGAACAACCCTGAGTTCATTCACGCCTACCTCCATCTACAATTATAACCATTATTTTTATGCATGAACTCTGCTTGTTGTCTTTCCAACAAACCCCACATAAACTTGTTCTCCCCATACTCTTTCAAGTTCACTTCTAGAATGGAAATTATTGTGAAACAAATCTATGAGTCAGAAGCCGGTTTGCACCCCAGATTTGTATAACACTGTTTACATGCTTCATACACCGAAAAGATGCAATCTTCCTCTGACCCTTTTTCTTTCATCAGTTTCTCATGCCACTGGCTGACTCCAAGAACTGTTTTTGCAGCTGCAAACTAAGCATCCTGTTTGCCGTTCCTATCTGTAACAATCCCATAGTGAAGAAAGCTTTGACCTTGGGCATCTTGAATACATAGAAAAAGTTCAGAACAGCAATCCTGGATATCTGTATATCGTGTACAGAACGGCATGCCAGCATGAAATACTTTTGATTAGAAAAAGTAGAGTCTTTTTGTAGGCTTTCTTTCTGCATCCCTGGATTTACTCAACTACAGCTTGAATATATATATATATATATATATATATATATATATATATATATATATATGAGATCCAGAAAGAAAA